GCTCCCGCGTCGGGGGAGCGCAAAGCCGCCTCTGTGGTAATATTTCCCGTGGAGACCTCGCAGTTGAGCACCTAGGCAGCGTGAGAGCCTTGAAGTAATTATCAGCCCTCACTGTGTCATCCCGCGCCCTCAGAGAAAGGCAAAAATAGACTGTCGGTGGATTTGTGGCGAAGCACAACTCCTGTTCTCCCAAACCCGCATCTGCGCCGAACTGGGGTGCTTATATCAAAACTTACAGGGACCAAACTATAGATCTTTAAAACTGGGTGACGAGAGAGGGCAGCGCGGCAGAGTGGTTGAAAACCCATTTGCTAAGTGGCACAAGCAGGAAGACATTCAGGAAGATGAAATAAAAATATCTCCGGCAACATCTGGCGAATTAAACTGTTTCATTTAGGTTTACAAGAAAACAAGAGAACCCATGCCAGATTGACAAGAGCAGCTTTTAAAATAACTTGGAATCATGATGGCTTCTCAAATAACCTCTGTGCTCAGCGCAGACTGATTGTTGAAACAGTCGGTCACTTGTGACAAGTCTTTTTTTTTTTTTTTCCAAATATCTTTCTATCTATCTTTCTCTTTAAAAATATGAAATACTAAGTTTAAGAGAAAATAAGAGAAAGATGGACACTTGCAAGGCTTTGAAGGTACAGTGAAAGAGGATATTATGAAAGATAAAAGATTTCAAGATTCATTAACTTAGATGTGTTTTCTTAAGGTCCGGAACGTTAGCTAAATAGGAAAAGTCACAACAGGAACCAGCTTCTTCCCCATTTTTCTTTGTAGAATTTCAAATATACAGTTAAATGAACAAGAAATCTTGTTCGGAGACTTAAACAGACCAAACGTACTGACTTTCCCCTTTTTAAAATGCAGTGGTGGCTTCTTCTCTCATAATGACTGTTTCAGTAGCATTTATGCATTGAATTGGAAAAGTGCATAGAAAAGGCTGATGCAATAAAGTGAGTGAAAAGGTAGTTTCATGTATGTTCACTCGTCATATCCTAAAATGGATTAAAAAAAAAAAAAGATTATTATCAAAAGAGCCCTTTCAATTACATACTCTGGAGCACAAAGCATTGTAATTTATTAGAGACCGGGTATTAGGGGATTATTGGGTAGACTCACCATGGAAATTCTGTGCTGGCACAGTTTTAAAAAAGAACATAGTGACAACTGTACCAACACAGATCTTCACAAAAAGCACCTGTCAAATAGCTCAGTGGGATAAAATGTAGAAAGACTAATAGTAAGGATGTTTCATTAACAGAATAGAGTATTCTGTAATATACTTTTTTTTTTCTCTAATCCTGTTAGGATTTCTGACTGAAAAAAGTCGGGCCTTCCTACCCTCTTCAGCTCCCTCGCAGTAAGTATTTGTGTGGGGGGTGCCCCCCTGCCATTTTTTACATAGGCAAGAGTCCCGACAGATCAGGAATCCTTACATCAAAATCTCTTTGTCATCAAGTCATCACCATCTCTACCGTTTTATAGGCATAGATCTGGAAATAATGTCACCTGCTCCCATTAATGTATGCCCTAATAACCCTTATTGGACAAGCGCACATGTTTTTTTCATCTGTGTTTTTTAAGTATAATTTACATAAAATCCTCTATATATGACATTTAAAATATTATTGTGGAAGAATATTCAGAGACTTGCTATGCATACATGGTGTAATATGTTTTTTTAATCTTTCTTGAGGAGAAAGATTTCATCTTATTCCCCATAAAGCTATAAGAAACCACATAAAGAGGACAGTACAAATAATCTTTATCCATTATGATTTATTCTCTACAATACTTCATTAGAGGATAGAGTTCAATTATTTACACTCAGAAGTTATTATATAGATAGGAGGCAACCAAGTGTAATACAAAGAATTGGTCTGACATCTCTGCACTGTAGGTCAAAAGAGCTCTCCAGCCTTAAGGAAATAAATTAACCAAAATAAAAATTAAAACAAACATGTAGGTTCCAGAATACAAACAGAAAACAGCACTAATAGTCAGTGAAGAATGCAGATGTTAATGTACTATTAAAACAAATTATCTGGTGCAAAGGTTAAAATGAACCCTTAGATTTTCTTACAGAATATTTTTGTTCTTATAAATTGTAGATATGTGATATTTTGATGATAAAACTTTTCCAAACTGAAATGGCCTCAGTTGAGATCGACTGTTTAACATTATGAAGAAAAATTTAAGAACCTCACAGTGGAAACATTCCAACACTGACAGACTCCAGTGATCAAAGACATTCTCCTGTATTTACTGTAAAACAAAGACAATTCATAATTGCAGTGAGATTGTTTCTCAGCTGTGGTTGTCATGAGAATAAGCCCTTCTAGACCACAAGGCACTTGCTACTAAGGATGAGTTAAATCCATAGCAAACCAGGTGAGAACTGCTTTGAGCAAACGCAGTTCTAGCCCGCTGTCCCAGCCAAGTAACCACAGAGAAATTCCTAAATTGCATTGGTCATTGATTTTGGTTGCCTCCATCTTCAGGCAACAGAAAATGCATTTTGTTTCTAGTTTACTTTTCATCCTTATGCATAGCTGCCATGTAATGATCTAGAAATGGGATTATTTCTGAGACCCCCATGTCCCTGGCACACGTCTTTCTGAGATGGCTTCACTATTGACACGCTTCTCAATTGCTTTTACAGCTGGACCCTTGTGGGACTAAAGCTGAGAGCGCCTGGTTCTTAGGCAGCAGACCAGTGTTTCTGGTCTGCCTGCTCCTCTTCTCACTGCAAGACGACAAGAACACGGTACATATTTAGAGGCGTTTTTTTTGTTTGTTTGTTTTTTTAAACAGACTGAGTGGGGAAATGGAAGTGGGAGGGGATAAGGCCTCCCCCGACCAAAACCATCCAGCCCGCTTCAGGCTTAAGCCAACCAGTCACTCAATCCTAAAATTCAGTTCTTTAAAAATGACAACTAACCCTCCCCACCCCGCCCCTTAGTCATCCCCTGTTCAAATAAATGAAAACACTATACATTGTTGAAGACACAGACCAGGGCAAACATTTGAAAAAGAAAGAATAGAGTTGAAAAGCCTGGCACTATATGCCTGCATGACCAGTCTCACTGAGCGTGCCCAGGGGTGAAGTTTTAGCACCATTTTTTTTGCTTTTTTAAACCTTTTAGAAATTAAATTCTAACATAGAACACTTGAACAGTAATGAGTGTAGCCCTATGTACCATCCTGTTTGACAGCTGAAAGGTGAGTGGTGTGTCCAGAGCTGGCCCCCACCCCCCGTCACTCCACGGCACCTGGGAGAGTAATTACAAACCACTCGAGTTTGTAACAAGACTGATTTATTCTCAGCAGCAGGAAATCATGAAACAATCCCTTAATCTGCAATTGCTTTTCAACAACATCACAAGGGAAAAGTGGCAATTTGTAAGAATGACCCAGTACAGAGGTAAGCTGGGTCGATATTGCACAGTTATTCAGAACAGGACCCCTTCCTTTTCCTCACACCTCTATCCCCAGCAGCAGCAGACACGACACTGCTGTGAAGCAAAACTGCAGGATTCTGCTCCCTTCACTAGCACCACAGGGAGCAGCAGCATGCAGGTTTTGCAGATTTGAGGTTTTTATCCAGCTTACCCCCTGCAATGCTGGGGGAAAACTCATCAGAACTCCAGGTTTAAACACCAGCCAGCTCTCAAAGCCATCATTACCACACACAAACAAACTTTAAATATATATGCAAATAGCCATGACTCTGTGCACTTCTGTTTTCTTCCCTCATCATTGCTGACCTTTCGGATATCTGCAGAAATCAAGTGTCATTTTCTAAATCCAGTGACCTCACTGAGAGCGTGTCATAATTTAGAGTTTATGACATCCCTCAGTGACTCTTAAGAATGACAACCAGGTAACGGATATCTTCATCTTAGAAGAGAGTTTCTTGTAATCATCAATGACAGCAGAAGAAATACAAAGTACACACGAGTTTCATACAGTCTGGGTCATACAGATTTCCCCCCCTCCTTGCCTTGATGTGGTAACGACCAAACGGTATAATAATTTATGAGCAAAACTATGTAGCTTTATTCCATAGTCCTGCTGTAAACTGGAATACTGACAATTTTCAGGATCCATAGTCACCCACGAGAAAGTGGCTGTCCTATAAAAAGGAAGGTCCCCGAGACTGCTTAAATTAAACAAGTTTCAGTCACTAGTCTCACTGGGATGACTACAGGCAATGCCCTGCAAATCCCTGCCCACTCTAATCCAACTGGGCTCCGTTACAAATGTTTGGACAGAAAATTTAGGAGTAACAGAGAAGATTGTGCAGGGACAACTAAGGACCTTCTCCTTCACATAGACAGCGTTTAAGGTTTTGCTCTCTTACAGCCATAACAACATTGTTTTGTAGCAGGTTACAGTACAAAGCACTGCCTAAAAAACCCACAAACTGAGAACCAAATGGAGTTCTGGAGAATCCAACCTATAGTGGGATCTGCAAATTAAAATCTCCTGGGGTTAACTTAAGTAACAGATTCATCTACCATACCGTCCAAAGGTTTTTCACATCTTCAGGAGTTTTCTGTCGATGAGGATGTGGTGCCATCCGGACGTTCAGCCCTCCTCATATCCTAATGTCCGCCTGTGATGTGTGGGGACTGCAATCAGCTCTTGGTACACAACAAATACCAAAGGTTAAAAAAAATGAAAAAGAACCTAAAAAATGTTTTATTGGACTCCGTTGCCCAGGCTGCCAGGGGAATGCTCCTACTTGATCTGGGGGGCTTCCATAACAAACATCTCAAGGTTCCAGAGTGTCGGGAACACGCAGGAACGGATCAATCTGAAGTGACACTTTCACTCCTGGAGGTCTTCTGCACCTCACGACAGTCCCTAGACACGGAGCCCCAATCCAACTGAACCCCCGTTCAGAGGGAAGGCTGAGATAAGGCTTGGGCCCCACAAGTTCTGTCACGCTCTCGTCTTCCCCCCAGGTCAGCCGGACGGCAGGCTTGGCAACGGAAGCTAGCATCATAAAATGGTGCAGTAGTAGAAGTAACTGGACCAGGAAGAGGAGGCATCTGCCCCAATGATGTCGTAGCCGTTGGCAGCCACGGGCGGGTGGGACTGGTCATGCAGCCGTGTGTCAGGAGTAATGATTGTAGAGGGGCGGGGCATGAAGGGTGCCGTTCTGGAAACAGTGCTGGCGGGAAGCCATGTACTCCGCGTAGCTGATTGTCACCTTCTCACTGCGGTACCTGCGGAAACAGCACACGAATAAAGAGCGGCAACGGCTCCTGCAACGTGAAGAGAGCACACACGGAAACTTCCATCCCCTTTTAGCTCACAGCCAACAATGACAAAGCAGCACTCCGTGACTTCAGAAATACTTTGTATCATCCCATGCACTAGTCTGGAGAGATAAGCAGTCTGGAGAGATAACCTTTCTAAGCTTGAATTAGATGTGCTTCCGTGTCCCAAAAGCTGAGTCCTATTCAAGGCAATCGTAATTAAAGTGACTCCTGAAGCACCAGTTTGGCCACAAGGAAGCAGACTATCAACCTGTGTTCTTTTTACCTGCTTGCTATGAAAAAAGGTGAGAAATGCTTCCTGGAATAAGATGACTTAAAAGTTGCAGAGACAAAGAAGTGAGCCATATTTCAGTATTATTTACTTTTGTGTTGATCTTCATATTTGAAAGGCTAGCAAAAGCAAGCGTTGGAGAACCAAGTAAAGGGGGTTTTACGGAGGAGTGCAAGCAGCTAGTTCATGATGTGCACTCAGAATCCACAAAATGCCAAGTCCTTTTGGGACACAAGAGACATCTGGAGGAGGAGAAGATGTGCTTCTGAGCACAGCATCCAGCAGGTAACATCAAAATGGTTGTGAGCTTTGCTAAGCCCTCGTTACACCAGGTTTTACTGAAAAACTCCATCCTGTCCTTTTCTGTTCAAAAGTACTGCATTTCCACTTCATTCCTCCAGAGTAAGGAGCGACCTGAAAAATCATGGTGTTCCTAGGCAAAAGCAGAATGTCCCAATTTTTACCGACATAAAAGGAGCTGAATCAGTAGGACAGCTGGATGCATGGAAAAGCAAGCAAATTCTGAAAAATCAGCCAACTTTGAGAATGGTTTGATTTCAAGAGGGCTGTCACCTCCAAATAGGTACAGCATTTACACAGGGACGGAATGAGAAAAGAAAGCCCCTTATAAAGGTAGAGAAGAATTGGCCTCGTCAATTTTCAAAGGTTCTGCTTCTTTTAATCCTTCATGTGGAAGATTATATTAAAAACCAGTGACACGTCGCTCAGGAAAAAACGCTCACTTCCATCCTGTGTGGACTGAGCGCATCACACTTCCATATATATTATTTACCTGACATGACGTTTACAATATTGCCTTTCAGCTTACATTTCTCATCTAAAAGTGTAACAACTTATGCCAAACAGAAATAGCTTGCCCATAAAATCACTACAAAATAAACACTTAAATAACCAAAACATTGGCTAACCTGGTGAGTTTAATTGTTTTCCTAAAATCATTGGTAATCGGAGCCTTAAAGCCACCTTTCCTGAGTAAGGAGTCTATGGTCTGGATCTGATCCCAGTCTGTTTAAAGAGAAAAACAAGGGAAATTTTCAATATAAAAATGATGTTTGAAAAGACAAAGCAGACACATAAAAGGCCTCTAGGAAAGCAAACTACGTTAACAAGAAAACTTGGAGCTTTATATATGTACCAAGGGTGAACTGGACACACACAGCCTTATACATGCACACTATCTGCACAGATCAACCCTTTTTAACTCCTCTTGGAACATTTTCCATACAACCTCTCTTCTTACAAAGGTCTGCACCTTGCTTCTATTGCAGGCACCCCAACCTGTTTTACCACATGGCACTCAAGTTTAGCTCTCTCAGCCTTAAAATAAAGTAATACTTAGCTCTTTACATAGACAAACTGGGATCAGCTTGATGCTCTAGTGATAGCACAGTGCACTGCTATGTGAGAGATCAGAGTTAAAATTCCTACCTTAGTCTTTTGCCCCAGAGCCAGGAGGATGCGACAACTCCACTCTGCTAGGTGGAGGAAAGGAGGCAATATTTTGAGCAGTTACCATGGTCACCACTACTAATTTGAGTGGGAAGTGTGCTCCAGAGGGGCCCTGTTTCCTGCCCTCATCTGGAGGATGCTACTTTAGCAAGAATGAGGAGGAAAGGGACTCTCCTGTTGGTGCTGTGCAGCCTGCAGTTATCCTAGTTGGTGGGAGAAACATAGAAGAGGAAAGATGCAATGCTGAATGAAGCTGGAAGGTCCATATTTTGAGATCCTCTTATTTCTTAAGCCCTAGAACATGTTTACACTAAGATACAACTGTGCATGGATGTGGGATGAGAGACAGGCCAGATGAAAACCCAGCAGCAGCTGTATCAGGTGTCAGTTATCCAGATTAAGCCTGGTGGCTCCATGGCATTACTATGTGGAAAGCACTGCAATCCAAAGCCAAAAATCCATAGATTTAAGTTACCCAGTTCTGTGACAGAAGGCACTGATATGTTTGGTTGCCATCTCAAACCCACCTTGTTCCTTAGCAACCTCAGGTAAATACGTGGCTGTGCGTTTGACACCTTTCTCATTGATGAACTCTATTCTGATCCCATGGATCCCAACCTAGAGATGGAAATGAACAGCCAAATAAGAGGTGTTTGCTAGGACCGAGTCCGTGATTGATTTGTTATTTTCACCACTCTGCAGTACCTCTGCCTCACTGGCCGGCATGGCTGTAGCTTTTGCCTGGGTCAGTGGCATTTTCCTCCCCTCTCTGCGTCCTTCTCAGAGGCCGTGCGAGCCACTCTCCCAGCAGCAGTGCCAAGGGCCTCTGCCTCCTTTCCCGGACCAGCCCAACCCGTCTCCCTGCCACTAAGAGCCATGACCAAACTAACCCAACCATAAAGTCTATTTAATCCTTCCTAAACTAAATGCATTCTCATGCACAGTGCTAAAACTCATCCACACCTTAGGTCTAAACTACTACTTCTATGCCCAGTTTCTATTGGCAGCACCAGAATACTTCCCCAGGCTTCTGCTTATATACATATCTAGACCTATCCCCTGTTGGGCCAAATCCATAAAAAAAAAATGGTTTCCCCTCTATTTCTGCTAAGATCCCTACCCAGCCATGTTAGCCCGTCATCTTCCTCCCTTCCAGTATCCCACCCCTATTCCTTCGATGCCCAGACACCCCTGTAACAAAGGAGACACATTACCATGTACTAACCCGAACCCAAACGGAACGAGAGAGTGATGCAGAGTTCCAAGTGCACCTGTTCTCACCTCCCAGTCCAGGTAGTCATTGGCATCCTCAAAGTTAGTGAGGAGGGAGACAGAGCAGAAGAGTTTGGGCAGCTCCTCGCGGGTCAGGGGGGGAAATCGGCTGTCCTTAAGTGCACTGGGGGAAGAGAAGATACAGTGCCTAGCGCCAACCACCACGGCAAAACACGAGGTGCTCAGTTACGCCCCACGCTGGGGCCTTTCACAGATTACAGGGGTTACTTCTGTTTTGATTACGCCTCTGTGCAACATTTTTATCTTTGTTACAGCAGAGAAAGTGGCTTGCATCTATTCATGATCTAATGAACTGTAATATGCAAACAGTAGCCCTTTGCCATCTTCTACTTAATGTGGCTGATAATGTGCTATGTGAGATGTCACAACTATTAGCATGCAAGACGGATTTGACATTATCTTTAAAGAAGTCAACCAAAATTCACCTGCTGCAAAGCTGTGCCACTAAATCCTGAAATTACTTCCCCCTAACTACCATACAATGCTCAGGTTTAATTTATTGTGAACCGTATTAAATTGAACCTATGTCAATCCAATAAAATCTCTCAACCTTGAATCTTTATAGATCTCCAGCAAATTGAACTGATTTTGGATTTATTTGACTTTCAATGTAATTACCTGGTTAATGTGTATTCCCTGAGTCCTGAGTGAAGATTCATGGCTGAAAAGGTCCCGATGCAGCCACGAAGCCGCTTGTCTCGCCCCGTCTTCCACGTCACAAAGAGTGGACTGGAAAGGGAAAAAAGACAGAAATACTCCAGCCTCGAGAAGTACTTCCTGGCTAAAGGAGCAGGTGGGCACACATTTGCTTTCCCTGCTCCTCTCCAATAAACCCCAATATGCATTTTTTCCTCACCCATAATCCAGCACTAATACCCCGCTGAATGCAATAAACAACCTCTCCCAATCTTTTTATCATATTTCTTTCTCTCCACCAGTTTCCAAAACCTTCCTGGACAGACTCTGAGCTGTTTTCAGATGAGTAATGCAGTAATGCAGTTATTTAACCCCACAGATTACCCTTGGGGGTAATGGGCTCCCTTAGTAGCATCTGCTTGCTTATTTGACAATCAATACTGAAATTAACATAGATGAAAGGAAATAAGTTGTTTATAGTAGTGCCTTTGAACCAAAAATCCCCAAACTATATATCCCCAGATAAAATCGTCAAATCCGTATTTCAGGTTTTTGGTGAAACTTTTTTTTTATTATTATTATTTCTAACAGATAAAAAGCAAACCTAGTTTTTGTTTTTGTTGTTGTAGAAAGTCCCCTGAGTTATTTCCACAAAGATCCAACTTTCAGGTGCATCCTTTCAGCTCAAACATGCCCTTTCACTTACCTTTGATTTATATTTACACAAACTCTCCCCTTTGAACAGGCATTCAAATCACTATATTGTTCCCATTCAAACATCCCGCAGAGATTATATCTTATCCCACTACCAGTATGAATTTCCAGATATAACCATAGATTATCGAACATGAAAAAACAGCAGGCTCAATTCATTTTGATAAGCCATAAGTAAGCCCAAAACAGCAAGGTCAGAACGGCAGCATTCAAAGAGTACTGTGAATAGGTAAAGAAAACTATGATTACTAAGTGTAACACGTTCACTGAGTGAAATTAGCAACAGTCATAGAGAGAAAGAGTAACGAAAGTGGTTACAGATTTATAAGAATGCCTGAACATCTGGAAAACTCTGCAAGGCAACTGATGATGCTGATCTAACTATAAAGGCAGGGAAGCTGATCTTATTTTGTCAGAAGGCAGTACTGAATACAGTAAGTGCTAGTTTCTAATCCCCCCATAAACGAGAAAGCTGTCAAACCTCATGAAGTTGGTTGTCAGTGATTCTAAGAGATGAGGCCAAAACAACCCCCACCCACCACAATATCCTATTCATGGATTTCTGATTGAACTTTAAAAGAAAGTGATACAAAACAGTCTTGTTTAATTTCAAAAAATGATTTTATCATTGCCAAAAGCTGTAAAATATGAAGACAGAAGCACTGATTCTGTATCAGAGCATATAAAGTTACTTTGTTCAATTTTTGTGAAGGCTGATAAGCAGTGTATTTTTGCTGCAATGAACATTATCAAAAAAAAAACCCTAATTGATTTTACTAAGACAAAAAAAAATAAGAGGAAGAGATGACTTCTCAAATATAAGCAGTGCAGCTTCTCATGCATAAGCAGTTAAATTGTAGTGGCATTATTTAAATTGTAGTGATGAAGTAATGCCCCATAATGCTCCTCACAGCAACAATGGAATTAAAATACTGGATCACAGGATAAATCCATTAACAGAATCTAGTTACCAACAGTGACCAGTGGCAGAAGGACACGCAAGCAAATAGCCCTGAGGGGATAAATGGAAGAACTTGCCCAAAGAAGAAGCTAAACCATTCCTTCACCACCACCATCAGCCACCTCATGTTTTGCTGACCAAGAACACAGAATTTTCTGTTCTAGTTTTCCGACAGCTCGTCAAGGCACTTTCAGGGTATCATTCCTCTGTATCACCATCCAGCTACCACATGTTGAAATAGAAGACAGAAATGATGTACAGGAGAGATTCAAAAGCTTACCAGAAAAAAATACTAAACTTACAAAAGCCATTTATGAGAAACAGGAGAGTCACAAGCCCACTGAAAATTTAGCTTAATCGAATTACAGTTTTGAAACCATTGCTTAGCCCATGTGACATTCATCCCAGATACAAAAGGGAAGCAAGAGAATGGAAAGCATCACTGAGAGAATACAAATCTAAAGTCAGTTCCTTCTCTTCTTGGATTCGTATTACAGGTTTACGTATCCAATTCACTTTTTCCCTCCCTTAATAAATAAAAATTTCCATTGAACTGTGACACAGCTATATGCATCTGTAAAAGAAAATATAGTACCAGAAATGACAGGATAATTACATTCAGAATGCTGATTTCAGAGATAGCACCCCTTTAAGAACTTTTCACCATGGTCATAACAACCAAGGCATAAAAAAGTACATGGCTTTGTAGAGGTATTTAAAACTTCAGTATTCTAAAGTCTTTCATTGTTGAAAGCATGTTTCTTTCTGCACCTGAGGAATAAATTAACTTGACAAATTGCAGGTGCAGTTCACAATAACTACTTGTTCATAGCCCATTCTGTGAGAAGTCTATTTCCCACAATGTGTTGAGAAAACTTAGAGTAATCTTTTACCCATATTCATCCAAAAATGGGTACCCCCTCCAAAAAACTCTAGGCATTTGCACAAAGGGGAAATGAAAAGGAAGAGTTGGTTTTGTTATGGAGTGCTGACCTAAGAGACTTAACCTAGGACTTGCCCAATGAAGGCTTTTAAACTTTTTGTAATCTGGGCATAAAATTTAAACAATTGGGATTCCGGAAAGAACTCCCTTTCTAAAAATAGTTAACAGAAGCAACAAACGCCAACTAGAACTGCCTACTCAGGCCAAAATATTGAAGCAATATAAAATTACATCCCTTATTCATTTAAAAATGGAATAAAATCGCTTTGTGTTTCAAGCAACAAAATAGTAAGTAGACTAATGTATCCTTTCTGAAAAGGAGCTGAATTAGATCACGTATGAAAACACCGGCAGGAACATTGAGGCGCGGGGAGTCCCTAGGGCTGCGGCACGTTCCAGCGCGGAGCGTTTCTCCGTTCACTCGCACGTACAAGGTTACGCTCCTCGGGCCTCAGCAGCACGAGGCCGCGCGAGCGCAGCCCTGCCAGGAGAGCAGGGGTGCGGGGGCACGCGCGGCGCACACAGCGAATCCGCCGCCTGTTTAACCAGGGGCCCCCTGCATCCCCTGAAAATCCATTAAGTTACAGACATGAACAGCTTCCTATTTTAGCTATGGTGGAGCCGGCCCCTCAGCAAGACTTGGGTCCCTCTGTCATTGATTTTCTCTGCACAATTCTTCCACCCAACATTTTAACAACATGAATATTATCACACACAGACATTCAACCCTCAGAGAGGCATTAGCTACACGTCAGGGTGAAACGCTGAAGTAACCTCTTCACAAACCCATCTCCCGGCTTCTCCTTATACAAGCCTCCTCTCTTCTTGTTTTCTCTCCACTTCTCCCCACGTGGTCCAGCTAGCACTTTCTCCGCAAGAGAGCCACATTTTCACTCTCACGGCCACCAAATTTGGGTTTCCCTCCCTGCTAACCCCATTAACCTGGGTTCCCAAAGACCCCTGTGAGCATCCTTGTCCAAGTCTCCCTAGCTCACTGTCTCAGGACCAGCCCTGACCTCTCACCACTTCTTAGTCTATTCCCTTCTGTGCTGCTAGCTGAAGGAAGCCTCTTCCCTCAACCCTTCAAAAAATTCAGTGCCTGGCATCAGAAGCTGATCCCCCTTCAAACTAGTTACATCATTTTGTTTTCTGAAAACTTTCTAATTTCAGTTTCATTCACTCTTTTTAGCACAGTTTTATGCCACGCATGCCATGGTTAGTTTCTTCCAGGGCAAGAAACCTTATCACAAAGAAGGCAGCAAGCTTTAGCATAGCGTTACCATGAAGCAGGTCAGTGCTCCTTGGTCCAGCACGCACCCTCGCAGGCCCACAGCAGACAGGGAGCTGGGGAAGCACCAGGCTCCCTTGGGTATTAGCCAAGCTCTGCTTCTGAAGAACTAAGCCCCTTCTCCGCTTGCCACCACCCCTCAAAGCTCTGCAAGTTTCCATCAACAACTACAACAGAATATTTCTACTCTTTCATACACTTTACAGGTACCTTTTTGTCTCCAACAGACCAAGCAGGCAGCAGAACGCCCCCCTTCCCTGCTGCGTAGTCTTCCAATTCCCCAGAAAAAACCCTTCTCCCTGCCCAAGAAAATCACAGCTCCAGGAGCTGGTTCCCCAGCTTTCCTGCCGCACGTGGATTTACTCACTAGGGGTCATTGGTAAATCGAGGAAGTCGTGGCTGAGGGAAACCGTAGAGATGACAGTAGAGAACATCAAAGCAGTAGCAGCACATCTCCGCTGTCACCACCAGGTTCTTGGTGCTGTTGGCAGTTCCATTGGGCCGGGTAAGTGGGCTCAGAGCTCCTGAAGTGGGATTCATCCGAGTGATGGGGGAATTTCCTGGGCCCAAAGTCAAGTCAGATACGTTCTCCCTTCCATTATTCCCATCTGTATGCTGGTGGTTCTGAAGAGGACCTGAACTGGAGCCCGGCGCCGTGCTGGCCTGGTTCCCATGACTGTGGCTCCCACTCGCAGACAACTTGGGTTTCTTCACCCCACAACAGCCAGCTGCCAGCTTGGGCTCGAGTGGAGGGACACAGCGTCTCTTTCCCATCCTGATTCCAAACTCACTGCCGGGGGCACTGCAGAACCCTGGCAGGAAGAGGGAGGACACAAAGACAAAGCAACACACGTGTTACACCAGGTGAAAAGCCAACAGCCACTTCCTTGCCTTTGCTTAGGTTTCAGAGGGTTTGTCTTTAAAAAGGGGGATAAATCCCCTGCAGCTCACAGCTAAGATCACTTCAGCAAAGAGCGGGAGTTCTTATGGAGGGAAAAATCATACTTACAAAGGTGAGCTTCACTGAATGTTTACAAAAACAGGCAGCGCATGACAAAAAAAAAGGGTGGTAGTCAGTCTTGTCATAAGGGAAGTGAAATTGGGGAAGGAAAAGAAGAAAAAAAAACACACGCAGACTTCTTCAATCTGTATATCCCTGTACGTCCCATTCACAGCTTCTCTGGACCACCCACCCCCTGGGCGTTGACGTCTCTGCACCAGCATCAACTGAGCTGCCCCGTAACCACCCCAAACGCGTTTCCCTGCCCGTTCTCAGGGCAAGGGTGGCAGCCTCACACCGTGGCACCCGCGCTGCGCTCCCCACTCCCAACCACCCGTACCTCCTGCGTGACAGCCCCAAGCCCCAGGAGCCGCCTTTACTTTCTAGGGCAAACGCATCCGTTTCCGCGCCAAGCTCGGCGGTGCCCGCGGGGAGACGCCTCGAGGGCCGGGGGACGCGCGGAGCGCAGCCCGAGCAGAGCGACGCGGCCCAGCCGTGGAAGCGCCGGCAAACAGAAGGGTTGCACGGAGACAGGGAATGTTGGCTCCGCGCATCACAGCGCGGGCGCCGGTGGCAGCAGGAGCCGCCGCGAGGCCTGGTGCTGTGCCGGCCTCGGGTGAACTGAGGACACGCGCAGAACGGGGGTGGGAAACTGCCCCAAACCCACTATGGGCAGCGCTGGATCTTATGGTGCCCCCTCCTCCCGCTTCGTTCTCCGCACATGCGGAGGATCCCAACTTCATCCGTGAGGCTTCCTCAGTGGGATGTGGCCCGGAGCGGCGGCAGTGCCGGTGCAGGAGCTGCGGGGACCCACATCTCTGAGAGCAGAGCCCTCAGGCTTTGAGAGAGGTAACCGGCCTAGGGGACAACCCGCGAGGCAGAGGGAGAATCACCCATCCCGCTCTCATCTCCAACCGCACAAAAAAGGGTAACTCAGACAAAGGAAAAGCGTGATTCGGAACCAAAAATATAAGTTACGCTATAACGGCCGCGGGGACAGCTGCGGAGATGGAGGAGCCGCCCCACGCCGTCCCTAGGGGCTACCTCCACTTGGGAAAAAAAAATAATAATAATAAAAATTAAAGAAAGAAGAAGGGCGCGGGGCTCTGCACGCCGCGGGGACGAGGCCGACGCGCGCGGCGCCGCCAGGGGG